CTCTTGGAGTGCCCACTCACTCAGTGCAGGGCATGCGCAGGGAGGGCCCCACATGCGAACCCTGGTGAGAGCAGTCCCCAGGGCTTCTAAGTGAAGAGTTCCTGTCTGCTGCAGGTGCACAGCAGGCAGAGACTCAGACTGTAATGGCCGCTGGGTCCTCAGTGTCCCGATCTGCCCCCAGGAAGTAGATGGGAAATACCTGGCTCTCTCCACGGCTTTCAGCTGGGAACCCTGGTGGCAGCAAGTCACAGCCCGCCTAGTTCTCCTTCTCTAGTCAATTCAGAACATGCACAGGAACCAGAGCGGGGCCGCTCAAACAGCAATCACAGACTTCCCGTACCTGTGACCTCCAAGGGGTCGGGGCACAAGTAAAGCACAGACTCGAACCACAGTACCAGCAGCTCTTGGAGCGTTTGCTCACTCGGCACAGGGCACGTGCAGGGAGGGCCCACAGGTGAACCTCGGTAAGAGCAGTACCCCGGCTTTCTGAGGAAGGAGCTCCTGTCTGCCGCAGGTCCAGAAAATATTACCGTATATGAAGGGTAAACATCTTGAATTACTTGGGAGAACCTCAAATTTAATACTTGAAAGCCAGTTTTTAAAGATTGTTGCTATTACTACTAAAATTTGTAGAGAATAGTTGTGGCAGTGGTGTGAGGCAGACAAAAAACTTCTTCTTTACAGAATAATGCCAGCAGATACTGATCAGAATAATGGTAGAATGAGGAAGTTGCCAATTTTCAACCCCCAGTGAATAATTGGTTTGTGCAAAGCTCATCAGTGGGCCTAAGACGCTGCTGATGAACAGGATATGCACAAGCTTTCAAAGTATTATCCAGTTTTTTATGAATGAGGAAGGGTGAAGTTTCTTTTATAATGAAGAAATCTGAAATACAGCACTTGAAATGATCAAACTTAGTGTCAACAGTAATACATAATGTTGTTTTGTGCCTCTGGATGTAGTACAGTGGGAAGATCACATTGTCTTCTGTGTAGTGTTCTTAACAGAAATTTTAATCTGAATTTTATCTTGAGAAAGTAGTTGGGTAAGTATAGACAGTGGAAAGGGAGAGGAAGGGACGGAGGAGAGAAAACAAGTTACCAATTAGAAAACTGGTGAAAATAGCGGTTAAGTGAGTATTCATTGTGTTATGCTTCCAACTTTCCTGGAATTTTGAAATTTTTTCAGATAAAAAATTTGGAGGAAAAACAGTTCAAGCTATGTTGGTTAAGTTCTTAAGTGTTACTTTTTTAAAAAAAAGATGAATGGAGAAAAGGATGCTTTTCCTCAAATCTAATTAAATATAGTTAAGACCAAAGGGATAGTTCCCTAAGCTTATGTGTATTGTAATTAAGACAGCTAATTTATTACAAATTTTATAGCTAACAGTTAATAAGTCAAATAGAAAATAATACAGCTGAGTAAGTTGCAAGCACATTCTTATATCAAGAGAGATGTGAATTTGAATCTCAACTTGGAATCACCTTATTGGATGTGTGGGTGTGCCACCCCCGCACCAAACCTGGCTTTCTCAGTAGTAAACTAGTATGATAATCAAAATATCTTCGCAGGACTTCGTTTGTGTGTGTCCTGCAGTTCACTGTGTGAACTCTTACCAAGTGCCCAGTAAACATTAACTCTTGTTATTGTTTGGAGCATCTTTTTCTCCTTCTACCTCTTTTCTGCCTCACTGTAACTCTTGCTGGTTCTGCTGTCCCTTTCCCTTAACGTTATAGAAGGTGTTTAATAACAGAGACAGGGCATTTGTTCCTATTTCCATACGAACTCGTTATGTACTAATTTTGTTTCTGTGTTACTTGCTTTTAAGGAGATTCGAAGCATTAATTCAAACTGGCAAAAGTCCCACTTCTGAACTGCTGTTTGACTGGGGTACCACAAACTGCACAGTTGGTGATCTCGTGGATGTTTTGGTCCAAAATGAGTTTTTTGCTCCTGCAAGTCTTTTGCTGCCAGGTAAACTGGGTGTGACCAGGGTGTCAATGTTTAGGGTAGGAGGATAAAAGAGAGAAATAGAAGTTTCTTCTTACTGTTACTCCTTTTTTCCTAATAGACAAACCTGACCCTTGAGTCCCTTTATTCTTTCAGCTCTCCCCAACTTTTTAGCAAGCACCCAAGAGGAAGGGTTCTGCTGCTGAAGCGATGGAAGCTTCTTAGGGGAATCTGATCCAGGAGAAAGTTTAGATGGATGCAAACCTCAGATACATAGTGTAGGCTGGAAGACATTCGTTATCCTTCTGATCTCTTTTGTCCACCTTCTTCCACACTCCCAGGACTCTGGTCATGATTTCCCTATACTGTTCTGGTATGTTAGGGGCTAGTTAAGCTGTCCTCCTCATAACCTTACCCTTTTTCCCCTTGTCATTTATACCAGTAATTTCCAGCCTTTATTTTACATAAGAATCATTAAGTGTTCTTGTTAAACGTGTAGATTGCCAGGCCTCTTCTGACACTGTTGAACTAGAATTCTGGAGTCAGGTTCAAGAACTGTGTTCTTAAACAAGCATCTCGGTGCTTCTGACGCAGGTAGTTCATGAACCACTTTTTGTGAATGTTGCCGTATTCTCTCCCCGTCTTCATCACAACTGACAGATTTCCACCAGATAGCTTCTGTGTTGTGAGGGTGTGGCGCCAACCTGTGCAAGCAGAGATGTTGTTCAACGAACTGAGTTCCTGGTTTAACTTTTTCTCTAACGCTTTTTTCTATGTGAAGACAACTTGATGTCTTATTCCTCTTGGCAGGTGCTGTCCCCAAACCTGCTCATACTGGACCACCTAAAGAAGCTGTCACAGTTCAGCAGAGACACCCGCCTTTCTTTGAAAAAGGCGCTCCTGTGACATCTGTGCAGAATCTTCACCTAAACTGTACCCCATCTGGCTCCTCAAGTCCAGGAAATAAGAGTGTAGAAGTCAGCGATACACGTAAGCACCACTTTTAGTGCTTTCCTCTAGTGGATTTCTCATTAATATCATCAGAAGCACACTAGCAGTAGCTCTTGTGGGGTTTTTCCTCCTAATTTGTTAAGTACTATTTTCATTGCATTAATCATTGTGTTATCAGTAATTAGAAGCACTAGGACGTGCAGACAGCCCAGAAACTTAAGAAAAAAATAAGCACATGTTTATATATCTTGCGAGGGTCTTTCTTTAAAAAAAAAAAGAAAATAATCTGACTAGAGTTTGGATGAATGGAATAGATTTAGCAATATCTCATTAGAATTTGGGGCAGGTAACTCCATACAGAATTTGGTGGATGATATCACCAAACAAAGATTCTCATGTTAAAGGTCACAATTTGTATTTTAAAAATGGTTTTAGCCGGGTGTGGTGGCACACGCCTGTAATCCCAGCACTCGGGAGGCTGAGGCAGGAGGATCGTTGCGAGCTCAGGGCCAGCCTGCGCTACAAAGTGAGCTCAAGGCCAGCTGAACTGCATAGGGAGACCCTGTCTCAAAAGGACAAAAGAAAAAAATGGTTTTACCCTCCTCTGCTTGCCTTATCCAAAGTAATATTTGCAGATAGTACATACATGTATATGAAGTCCTCAAAGTGAGAAAGTATCAGCATTGTTATAACCAATATCCTTTTTACTTATTTTGTTGACATTACAGGTTTCCATTGTTTTTCGTTTTATGAATTGAAGAATGTCACAAATGACTTTGACGAGCGGCCTGTTTCTCTTGGCGGCAATAAAATGGGAGAAGGAGGCTTTGGCGTGGTGTACAAAGGCTGCGTGAATGACACAGCTGTGGCCGTGAAGAAGCTCGCGGCAGTAAGTCGTGGTCAGGGATGGAAGAGTTGTTTCCTAGTTCATGACGTACGCTTAGTCTTTAGGAAATGCGTTTCAGGGTATGCTTTCTTTAAATAAACACCATATGAAGCTGGTAGTTCTTAACGTTTAAAAAGCTGTTGAGAGCTATAAACTCTATCCTAGAGAAGTCTAGTCATGCACACACACTTACGATCGTATAATTTTGAGAGACTTACATAATAAAGTTGAGATTATCTCCTCTACACAGTGCCTCGGTACAAGTAAGATTAAAATGGTAAAAGTACTAAAAATTATGTAAGTGTGTTAGCATTACTTTTCTCATTGGAAAATGAAGTTTGGAAAATATATGTTAAGAGATCAAGCAGTTTTGTCTGTGTCTTTTTTCCATTTCTGTTGAGCTTTTCACTTGCTACTTAGTGATTTGTTACGTTGTAAGCCTGCTGTTATATTGTAAGCCTGTAAGTCATTTTTTGTCATAAATGTTCAAATACTTTTGCAGGTTTTGATTCTCTTTTTGTATTCAAATTCGCTTGTCTTCTACACAGATTTTTTTCCCAAAAAAATTGGAAAAATTGTATTATTTTATTTTGTTCCAAAAACCTCACAACAATTCAGTGAGGTTTATATTTTTTTCCATCCACTGACAAATCATGGACCTTAAGCGAATCATTTGTAGGTCTAGATCTCTATAAAATGAGAATAATACCTTATTATTTTAAAGCAGGTTAGTTCTCTTTCTCTTGAGCCCCCTTTTGGCTTTAGGAATCAGGGGATTATTGCATTGTATAATATTGTGTGATACTTTTTTTCAGATGGTTGATATTAGCACTGAAGACCTGAAACAACAGTTTGATCAAGAAATAAAAGTAATGGCAAAGTAAGTGTTAATTTTGCAGTGTGGTGTGGGGAAAAAGAACAAGACAAGGTGCAGGAACCTGGTTTCGTACCTAGAATGTGCTGTGAACTAGAGATATTTGCAAGTACAGATATATAAACATTACGTCAAAGTATTTAGACTACTAACTTGCACCCTTCAGTTCTATGACCACATATGTTCATATGCCTGTGTATTAATAGCAGTCACTGTTTTAAATCACAGTGATGTTACATGGAATTTCTGTTATCTTCAATTATGTCTTTTTCTCCCAGAATTCATGAGAAATCAATTGTACAGATAATTAAAAAAGAAAAATCTATAGAATAACAAACAGGTCCTTAGGTAAGGTAACACTTATCCGTAACTAGAGAAATATTACATGCAAGGATGTTTAGGAGGCTTTGACCCACAGTAGTGAGGTAGTAATCATCAAGCAGGGTAGGAAAGTCAAGTCAGGAAATTTATTTTAGTAATTAGAGTGATTGATATTCAAGTACATACAACATGCTAGACACTGTACTTTCTGTGCATTTACTAATCTAATTGTTCAACAAGTGATACAACCTCTCTCTTAAACTGAGATTTAGAAGCATTAAATAACTTTGCCAAGTAACATACCAGTAGTGTTAGAGATGGGATTCAAATCCAGATCTGATACCTGAGTTTGAGCTTTTAATCTGAATCCTAATAGGATTTATCAAATTACACCCATGAAGCCATCGCTGTAAATCATCACTTGTAGTTACATAAGCTCAAGAAATAATTAATAGGCTGGAATTGTTTTACCTCCATAAAAGTAATGCACACTGTAAGAAGATCAAAACTTTTTTCCAGAATTTGTGTTCCCATCCACCATTCACCAATTCTAAAAGTAACTTATTCAAAGTAGATAACCTGGAAAATACATTTTAATAAAAATAAAAAAAAATCTCTTAAATATGCCACTCAGAGATAACCATAGTTTCATGTGCTTGATTCAAGATGTATATATTAGCATTTTCCTGCATCATTAAAAGTAGTTTGAAAATCTTTTAAATTATTTACAACATTCTAGCATAGATGATCATATTTTACATACCTTAATATGTTTTTCTGACTTTCAGTATTACAAATTAAAGTTCCTTTGGCGATCACTGTGTGTAAATCATTAAATGCAGTTCTGCTTATTTCACCAAGATAAAGTCCTAGGCAAAGGTTATTAAGTCAGAATGCATGAACTCTCAAAGGCTTTCCAAATATATGTTCAAATTGCTTCATAGATATTAATTTGCTACCACTGACTGACTAATCCCAGTGCCATGCACATGCTAAGAACCTGCTCTATCACTGAGCTGCACCCTCAGGGCCAAATTATGGTCATTTATATTCTTTTCAGTAATGTATTATAGTTTGAAGCGTCACTACCACCTTATCAGCACTGAGTACAAGTTTTACCGTTTTTTAGTAAGTGCCAATCTCTGGACATGATTTGGAGAATAGCTTTGGGCAAGTTTCTTAACTCTCTGTCCATTAGTTTTCTCATCTTTAGAATGGGATAATAGTCATACCCTATGGTGAAGATGAAATAAAACAAAGCAGGTGAATTATCAGAGTGCCTCACAGATAATACCAACTCAGAAAAGATTAATGACTTGTGTTTAAAATAGGACAACTTGGTGGAAAACGGAGCCTTCCTGCTTCAGTTTATACTTCGCAAAATATGTGGTTAGAGAAAGTCAGATTTGGTAAAAAGTAGTGCCAGAATCAGATCATCTTTGAGTGAACAGAAATGAGTAAGCACCGAGTGGATCATTTATCGTGCACCGGGGCATGTTTCTAGGCTCACATATACTTGTTCGTTTAATTCTCAGAGCATCCATGTGATATAATAGGCAATATTTTTTCTGTGCTGGGGAGATAAAGGAGCAGAGGCCCAGTGAGGTTGTTCACTGGCCATCGGTCATAATCAAGAGGTAGCAGAGATGGACTTTCAGTTTAGGACTTGGAACGCTGAGCCCGGGAATCCCACAGATGCCTGCAGTTCTGTTGTACTGCATCTCTCTTTAGTTTTATTACTCTCAAATGTATTAAAAAATTTGTTAAGTTATAAGTAATCAGATACGATTAAAAATCAGAGATGGATGAACTGGATGTGAATAAAGGTCTTTTGAGCATGTTAAAGAGTATTTAACGTGTTGCCGAATTCTTGAAAGTATTATAAAAGTTTCACTAGACTTTCTGGAATCATCTTTGTATAATCTTTAAAAATTATGCTGAGGAGAGATAAGCCAGACAAATCCTTAAGCAAACTATCACAGCTTTCAGAATTTGAATCATTGAGCATTGGCTATAAAATAGAAAGAAGTTTTGCTTCTAATGTTGACCAATATTACTGAAAAAGGAACTACTTACCGAAAATGAGAAACAAGTACAGCATGCATGTACCCATAAACATGTACCACATCATCAGTGATCTATAGCATTCCTTTTTTTCTCCCAACTGAACAGCTTTTAACCTTCAGCTGAATATATTTTCATGACCATAATTATGCATGTAAAATTATCTGTCACAGGTGTCAGCATGAAAACCTAGTAGAACTACTTGGTTTTTCGAGTGATGGCGATGATCTCTGCTTAGTGTATGTTTACATGCCCAACGGTTCATTGCTGGACAGGCTGTCCTGCTTGGTAAGATATTTTGTTCTTAAGATTGTTCACCTTTTCTGTTTCTGTGTTGAAATGTTAAAACTTACTTTGTGACAGGATCATGTAAGCCACATTACACTCCTTATGTTTCCTGTGCTGTGAACATTGACCATGTTTTTGTAAATCACTGGGATTGCCAATCTCTTAGGTGAGAATTTAAAACACAAAACTATCAGTCAAGTCTAGACTTTTAAAGGTGTTCATTTATACTTTTGCCTTTCGTCCTGTTTAATCTTACTTAGAAATTATTTTTATCAAGTTAAAAAAATTATAGTCCTAAATTCTTAATGGCATATTATCGTTTTCAGTTATTTTCTAGAAAAATGGTGTTATATATTTTTCTACAGATCTTCTTTATCCCCTTTTTCTAAGCTGGTTTGTTTCTTCATAAGGATGATACTCCCCCACTTTCTTGGCACATGAGATGCAAGATTGCTCAGGGTGCAGCTAATGGAATCAGTTTTTTACATGAAAACCATCATATTCATAGAGATATTAAAAGGTAAATGTTTCTGTGAAAAAATTTTGGAAAGCCACCTTTAAAGAATGATGTACTCTCTTTTTATTTACTCTTCGCGGACATGTCTTCACTTAGAGCAGCTTTTCTTCCCCATGACTCCTTGGAATTTCCTGTCCTTAAAGATCCCTATTATCTCCTTTATTCTAAACCCAGTGACCTGTTTCCCACTACCTGTTTCCTGTAATCATCCTACTTGACTTCAGTGTTATGGCCTGTGAAAATTCATTTCTTTCTTAGCTCCTACATAATAACCCTTTTCTGAATCACCGTCACCCTCTGAGAGTACTTTCAATTTTCAGACTGTAGAGTTTGACATCATTCAAATCACAAAATGATAATAAAATGTCGTATTGGCACAAAGAATAGTTCCTAGGGCAGTGATAGTTAAAGCTGCAAACCAAAGAATGAGCAGGAGCCTAGGTAGCCACAACTGGAGAATAGCAGAAAAACATTCAGAAAAACATTCCAAACAGAGGAGCCGTGTTTGTAAGGCCATAGTGAGAGAGAATATGGGAGCATGAATGGTTACAAGAAGTGAAACAAATTCAGTGAGAATGAGGTGCAGACAGTAAGGAGGTGATGGAGGTTAAATAAACAGATGGGAGGGACCTTCTTCTGTAGGACCTGGCAGACCCAAGTGAGGATTTTAGTTTCATTATAGGTATAATGAAATGCTACTGGAACAGTAAAATGTGGCATCATATTTAAATTTTGCAAAGAGCACATGGGCTCTAGAGAACAGTCTGTACGAAGAGGCACTAAGCTATCACAGGCGTCTTCGTGACAGCGATTCCTATGCAGAGACAGGAGCAGCTTTGAGAGATTAAGGTGGGGGCAGGTGCCCATATCTTGGCTATGGGGAAAAGTATCAGGAGTGACTCCTAGGTTATGGCATCCAGAGTCACACTCTGGAATGAGATTGGCATGAACCATTTATATAAAAGGGGGTGTGGTGCAGAAAATGTGAATTTTCTTTTTTACAGGTTATGTGTTAGTATCTTTTAAGATATAAAAGTGTATTAGCTTAATAATATCCCTCAGTTATTGCAGGCTGATCAGATCCACAATTTCCTGAATGAGTGTATGGTGAAGGCTAAATAAAAAGAGGCAAATGGAGTGATTTCAGGGCTCCAGGAGGATCAAAGCCCTCTCACAGAATTCAGGGTTCTTTTAGGGCTGAGACCAAGACCTTTTCTGGGTGGCCTGTGTTTATTTGGTTATCAGCAGAAGGGAGGGGAGTACTCAAGAAGGGCAGAATTACTGAAGGACTTCTCCACCTAAGGCATTAAGTTAATCCTTAATGAGGATTAAATTAATGCACCCAGGAGTGAGATGCCAGAGGCTATAGTCTTTATCCAGTTAAGGGCAGATCCAGGTGTCCTTGGCTGTGATCTTGTCTTATCCTTTGAGGCTTTCTGGCTTCATCTGCCATTACAAGTTTTAGTAGGCTTTAGTGACTTACAGAGGTTCACTTACTATGAGTCCATTGCCCACTTCCAGGCAAGTGGCCTAGGTTTTGGACAGATTCACAAGTAAACATAAAAAGCCAATTGGTTAAGTTAAGTCCTGCTTGGGGCTGCTTGACAATGGTCTCCATCAAAAGTGGAGATGTTAGACAGTGTGATATGCAGGTTTGGAGCTGAAAGAAATCTGAGCTGAAGATACAAACATGTATATTACTTGTGTAGGCTTGATAATTGAGTTATATAATTGCATTTACTTAAAGATAAAGAAAAATGTCCAGGATTAAGGTTTAAGGAATCCCAAGACTTAATGGTGAGGTAGAAGAGAATAATCCAAAAAAGAAACCTAAGAAAGCATATATGCACAGCGGTAAGAGAGCGAACGTGGAGCGAGGTCAAGCGCTTAGCCACAGGATGAGTATGAGCTAACGGGTCTGGAGACCCGTTTCCATGCAGTAGTTGAATCAGAAGTCAGGTTGCAGATGAGGACAAAGTAGGAGCGGGGAAACTGGGATTTGAGCATAGAGAAGTTTTTAAGACACTTGGCTGCAAAGTGTGATAAAAGAATGGTACTTTGGGGCCCGGGCTGTAGCTCAGTGATAAAGCACTGGCTTAGCATGCAGAAGGCCTTGAATTCAAGTCCTACAGGAAAGAGAGGAGAGGGAGGAAGGAAGGAAGGAAAAAAGGAACGAAAGAAGGAAGGAAGGAAAAGAGAAAGGGAGAGAGGGGAAAAGAAGGAAAAGTGGAAGGAAGGAAAAAAGGAACGAAAGAAGGAAGGAAGGAAAAGAGAAAGGGAGAGAGGGGAAAAGAAGGAAAAGTGGAAGGAAGGAAAAAAGAAAAAAAAAAAATGATGCTTTGGAAGACTAGGAAGTTACCCTGTAGTAAGTTATTTGTAGAGTAATGGAAGTATCTTGTTTAGAAAGCTTTATTTCATTTTTACTCTTATAAATGTTCTCTAAGAAACAAAAAGGAAAACAATCATTTCTCTTCAGCTTTAGTCTGAATTCTAGATTTATTTACACAAATTTTAAAGAGTTTTATGATATTTGCTATAAAATGTGAAAAGAAAAACATTTTTTCAAAATTTAAATTTTTTCAGTGCAAATATCTTACTAGATAAAGACTTCACTGCCAAAATATCTGACTTTGGGCTTGCACGGGCCTCTGAGAAGTTCGCCCAGACCGTCATGACCAGCAGGATCGTAGGCACGACAGCTTACATGGCACCCGAAGCTCTGCGAGGCGAAATAACGCCCAAGTCGGACATCTATAGCTTTGGGGTGGTGAGTAACCTGTAGTAGCCCCTTTCCTGCAGTTGTGAAATCAAAATGGAATGTTTCAGTGCACTTTTCCTGTTCAGTTCTCATATATATATTTTTTTTCACTTTAACGTCTAGCTACACCAGAATGTTTGTAAGCACTCCAATGTATAAAAAATTTTAGTTGAACCTCGCATAGGGATGCATGCCTGTAATCCCAGCACTCAGGAGGCAGAGGCAGGAGGATCATTGTGAGTTCAAGGCCAGCCTGAGCTACAAAGTGAGTTCAAGTTGAAGAGCATATTAAGACCTTGTCTCAAAAAAAAAAAAAAATTAGTTGATTTTTATGATTACTTCAGGAAATTATTTTGTTGTCACCTGGCCTCATGAAGTAAGATGAAGCTTAAAGCATAAAATGATGTCATAAAATACACACTTCAGTCTCTTGATTGTTTTTAACATTTTCTGATCTAGCAGTCTGTTCCTAAACATTTTTAAGATGAAAGGATAGGTGTGGGTGCTTGAAAATATTGAGAGCTTTTTGACTCATCTTATTTTCTTGTATGTGTCTTATGTCTGGAAATTTGACATTAACTCCTAAAAGCCACACGTGCCATGCAGAAACTGTGCTCAGAGTTCATGGTCAAGGTCCAGCTTCCTGGGCCAGGGGTATAACTCGGGCTTTGATCCTCAGCACCGCAAAACTTTCTAAAATTCCATATTCCTTTTGCTTTCTGCTTGTGGTGTTAAGTGTTGTGTCAGTGGATTCCTTTTTCTTTGTAGGTTTTATTGGAAATAATAACTGGACTTCCAGCTGTGGATGAGAAACGTGAACCTCAGTTATTAGTAAGTGACAGATTCATGTCTTGCTAACTTTTTTCTTTTGCATTTATAGTCTTCATACAGATGGGTAAATTCAGCATCTGGAGATGGTATTTTCTGTCCGCAGTGTTTTCCACTGACAATAATATATAATGTATATTATGGAAACGTGGAAAGACCTCAGCTCATCCGTGAAGTATTTATGAACCCTAGAAGAGTCGTTTATATATTCTTCATTCTGATTTCTTTAAGTAAAATGAAACTAGAACTAAAGGGTATTTGAGGTCCACTTAGTTTATTTTGTTACTTTTAGGGCAGTTACCAACAGCATTTTCATCTCAGAGAGAAAAACAAACCATGGCTTCCATTTGAATTTGTGTCAGAGCAGTATTCCTGGTGAGAGGTCTCTATCTACCTTCAGTACTTTGTGAAATTATCATAGAAAACATTGTCTGATTTTTTATAGTAGACATTTCATTGATAACTTACAAGCAAGATAACTAAGTGGTAAAATAAGAGGAAAATTATGCCATATCCTTTTTTTCTATGGAATAAATTTCGAAAACTTTGAGAATCATTTTTATAAAATTAAAGATTTATGGAAATATCTACTGTTATACTTAAGTTTTTCATAAAATCATTTAAACATCTGTACTGACCTTATTCTAATTTATGTGACTTGATGAGAAAAACCAATCCCTCAAATCCAGGGGGAAAATTATATATATCAATTATACATAGATATCAGTTTTATCATATATATATATATATTTATTTATCAGTCATTTTGTGTCCCTAAAATCGGGATCATTTAGAAAGGCATCATTTATTTGCTCAAGGGTTTGTTGCCACGCTGTTCTGAGGAAACCATATGTACAACAGCTGTATGTAATAGTTTTATTACATGTCATTATAGGCCCATATATTATAAAGCTTTCTGTGCTCTACTGGAAATTTCAGAGTGTGAATTACATAACATACGCTTCACATTAGAGAATATGTATAGAAGAAAGTATTATGAAAAGTAATATTTAAATTTTTATAGTGACACATAAAAAGTAAAATTTTGCCTTAGAGAAATAAAATTCTCTGTCCCATTGGTTATTGGAGGTGAGAAGAGAAGACTAAGCTAGAGATGCACTTTGTGTACAGTGTGTGTGTGTGTGTGTATCTGTCTGTCTATGCATGCATGCACATGCATATGTGTGTGGCACTGAGGATTGAATCCAGAGCTTTCACGAAATTGCCCAAGTGGGGCTCATTCTTGCAGTCTTCCTGCCTCAGCAAGTATATGTATATGAAAAATGTAAGAAGATGCGGGTCGTGGTGGCTCATGCCTATAATCCCAGCACTCAGGAGGCTGAGGCAGGAGGATCACTGCAAGTTCAAGGCCAGCCTGCACTACAAAGCAAGCCCCTATCTCAAATAAAGTAAAATAAACGTACAGAGAAGAAGGAGGAAAAGAAGCAGGGAAGGCTAGAGGTGACACCTACCTAGTATTTCTCCATCTTATAGTTTGTGCTTCTTAGGCAAGTCCTGCCTGTACAAAGGCCTAAGTTTCCCATGCAGTTACTTAAGACTGTTTGTGTACTCCCTTCAGAGTAGACAAGGACCGCAGAACTTTGGCTTGAACAAGGAGGAAGTCCTGAAAAATACAGAGTCACCGGTTTCGTACTTCACTTAGTGGGGAAGAATCGTAAAGCATCGGGGAGGATTGTACTGTTTCCCCGTTCTTAAGGCTTGAATGTGGTTTGACTATAAAGTAAGATTTTCACGCAAGTGCCATTGAGAGGGGACCTTTAACGAGCCTTTACATCACCAGATCTTGCCATTGCCCAGACACTTTCGAAGGTTACTTCTGGGAAGGGTTTTTGGAATGTTTATATTGTACCTCTCAAAATCAGTCTTTTCCATCTCTACTGGTTTCTCTGGGCTACCATTAAAAAAAAAAAAAAAAGCACACAGTGTGTGACGTGAAGTGACAGACATTGAGTGTCTCACAGTTCAGGAGCCAGAAGTCTGACATCGGTGTCGGCAAGCCAGGCCCTCTCCAAGGGCCCAGGCGAGAATCGCTCTCGCTTGCTCCGCTCCTGGCAGTGTTCTGTGACTCCCGCCCCGTCGCTTACCTGTGCTGTGCGGCCCCACGGCCTTCTCTCTGTCTTTTCCTCTCTGTGTCTCATACACAATGCTTGCCGTTGGCCTTAGTGGCCGTCTCGAGAATCCAGGGTGATATCTTTGTAAGATACTTAACTTCATCTCCAAAACCCTGTTCTTCCTGATGAGATCACGTCCACCGGTTCCAGGAATTTAGAGGTCACCATTCAACCCATCCTAGTCACACTGTACACCTCTCTACCAAACGTTGTTTTTTATCATGGCCTTGCCTGCGTTTTCTTTTGATTTTCGGGACATACAGCAGATGTCTGAGTCCAAAAGCACATCTTGAATGAGATCACCCTGGGCTACAGATGGGAGCACGTAGCAGTGAGCTCATAACCTAACACAAAAGTTCGAAGGCAAAGGGGTGAGCATATTTAGGAGCAGAAATCAGTCCAGTTATTTGTTTATTTGTTTAAGACATGTCCTATGTTTCTTCAAGTCTGAATAAGGTCATAGAGCAACTGGTGAGAAAGTACATGTTATTAAAAAGTAAGTTTAGCCAGGCGTGGTGGCGCATACCTCTAATCCTAGCACTCGGGAGGCTGAGGCAGGAGGATCGTTGCGAGTTCCAGACCAGCCTGGGCTACAAAGTGAGCTGAAGGCCAGCCCACACTGCACAGCGAGACCCTGTCTCAAAAAGGCACACACAGAAAAGTAATAATAATAGTAATAAAAATAAAAACAAAAATTAAGTTTAAAGAATTAAAAGTGATGGTCTAGTTTATTTCACTTTTATTTGCAAATTTTAATGAAGATTTTACCACTCAATTTAAAGCTGGATATTAAAGAAGAAATTGAAGACGAGGAAAAGACGATTGAAGATTATGTCGATGTGAAGATGGGAGATGCCGATTCCACTTCAGTTGAAACTACGTACTCTGTTGCCAGCCAGTGTCTGCATGAAAAGAAGAACAAGAGACCGGACATTAAGAAGGTATCCATTTTTTCACATTCATTTAAAAAATGAAGGGGATGGAGTTCCTCCTCTTTTTCCTACCTGTGCATTTCAGACCAGCTGTGTAATATGATTCTTGCATTTGTTCTTTTTAAAAGGTTCAACAGCAGTTGCAAGAGATAACAGCTTCTTAAAACTTTATAGACTCGTAACTTTTTTTTTTTTTTTTTTT